AGGTCGTCAACAAGATGCATGTACAGTGCTGGAATCTTTGTCAACCCTTGGTTACCGACCACATGGTTTACAATGATGTTCAGTAAAGCCAATTTCACAGCATCCAACTGTTCCTTATCTCTTCTATTCGCGATACCTTTGAACACATTTTCAACTTCTATACGACTCACGCTCATTTTCCCATTGAAGTACCTTGTGCTTATGTCGTTTGCCTTAGCCAGGTCACTATCTTCAAACCTACTCTCCCTTCCAAACCTCAACCCAGTAATCAATGCAAAATCTGTCTTCTTAAACTCCACTATCCTATCTCCAATGTGAAAGTTTAGTCTATCTACCTCTCCACTCTTATTAATGGGCTCCACATGATTTAAAGCTAATAAAATCAACAACTGACCATTGACCCATTTAATTTTCCCAAGTTTGAAGAAAATACCAAAAGCGGAATTCTTCAGTTCAGCCATCTCTAAAGCACTAACCACACCCTTAACAGTAGTCGAACCAACACAAAGATTACAAAAACAAGTGACCTTAAGCCCTGTTTTCCCTACCAAAATCTCTTCATCACACAACCTTCTGTACACCTGCATGTTGCAAATTATCCAACAAAACATCATAAACACACAAACCCCTCAATCAGAGATGCGCTCATATCACTGAAATGTTATTCTCAATCTAACAGAAACAACCAATTCAGGCACAAAAACAACATCTTCCAATAAAAGGGCATTAAGCAATAGTACCAGATTAAGCACATTATAAACCAACCTCTTAACATACTAATAAGTCATTAAACAACTATCCCAAGTATTAAAAAGTTCATAAATATGTTTTAGGCCCATCAGAGGTCTTTAATCTGCAAGTAAAAAACGACATTAATCCTCAATCCAAACAGTAATAAGTCTTTAGCCCTATCATCTTGCTATCTTTTGCATCTTAAATCAGAACCAGGTCATTATAACACTTCTTCATAATTTTAAAACTTTTCTACCAAAATCCATGGAAACAAATCCAGAACCACAAACACACTAGTCCAGCTAAAATCACTGCAATTAGACATCCAAACTCTCCAAAATACATTCAATACCAAGTTTTTAAAAACCAGGTTTCAACACTTATTTATGAAACACCTTAATGTCCTCCAGTTAACTTCATCCATATAAAGTCATTAACTAGACCACTACAAAGTCTTTAAAAATCAGACAATACCCAAAATCCAGGCCTTCATTCCCAAGAAACTAAAGTACAAAACTAACGAATAGCAGTACATGTAATTGCATCACCACAGAAATTTTCGCAAACAACACATATGCACGGCTGTATACTTCCACCTAATTTCAGGCATTATAACATTATAAAACACTATGAATTACACATTCTGAACTTACTCGCCCTGCGGTGGTTTTCACTAAATTCCTGGTCTGTATTATTGGAATCTTGTCCACGAAATCATCATCGTCATCTACCATAATTCTGGTCGCCGTTTTCTTTGCTGCACTGCTCCTCGTCGTCATCCCTGCTTCTGATTGACTTCAAATTGATAATGCCGTAACTGCTAGTGACAAAATCCTAGATCTATTCTACAATAAGCAGATTAATCCGCATGCAGGAGAAGTAGAGACACACTTGGGAACTCCCGCTGTGCAGCGTATCACCTACGGCGTCTATTTCGCCTTCACTTTCGCGCTTCCCCATAAAACAGCGTATCCTTTTTTTTTTAAATTACAGACTAAATAGGAGGACCTACAGGTCTTTTTACTCTGTGCCACGTGGACGGAAATAGGACTACTCCTCTTTTGGGAAAAGGGCCCTCTTTTGGTCCTATTTGAGTAATAACTCCTTTTGAAAATTACCTCCAGGTCATGTATCATACATCCATGGCCACGAGACGTTGGCCCACGTACTATAGAAGCTGGGCTCCACAAGTGTTTACAATTTGGTTCTTCGTCTCATATTTTTTCTTTCATTTTAACTTTTGTATTCAATACTTTTAAAATCTAATTAGAAATGAAGGGAAAAAAATGTTGAATTGTGATATACGAGATAAATTTAATGTCAATTTACTTTGAAATGACGCTTTGAAATATCATATTTTTATAATATGCTCTGTATACGATATTCCGTTACATCTAATCAGGGGCGGACCCAGGATTTTTTACCACGGGATCGATCATATATTTAAAAATCTGAGACTGTATATCATTTGTTGGGTCGTAAGTGAAATAAGATTCATATTTAAAAATATTCTTAAAAATAACTTTATGGTATTAACATTTAATATAATTTTTTTAAATTGACGTTCAAAATTTACTAGTATAAAATTTTAAATGAGATGGATGAATCATTAAAAAGTGAATGATGTATAATAAGAATTTATTTTAAGAAAATAGGAATAATATCAACTACATATTTTTTTCTATAAATAAGTAAAGTGTAAAGTTTATAAGTTTTTCTGATATAGAAGAGAATAGACAAATAAAAAATAGTTATGTTGATTAATAGGTACACAATTTTTGAAGTACTTAAGAAAATTGAAACACTCCATAAACATAAACTTTACTATAGATTTTTAAATGAAACGGATAAAACATTAAAAAGTTAAAGTTATATTTATAAGAAAATAAAGATAATTAATCTCACTCATATATTTTTTCTAAAAATGAGTAAATGAGTGGAGTGTCGTAACATACAATGGCAAGTCATTGTTTTTGTTTATGTTTGTACTCTTTAATGATTTTTAATTATCAAAAATTATTTTACACATTTATTTTACTATTAAAATATGTCTACTTCTTTAAAAAATATTTTTTTCAAATATTAAAAATATTAAAAAATAAAAAATGAGGGAGTCATGCCTTGCACATGGAATGAAAAGTGCGGTGAAATGACCATGAAATGTCATGATTTGAGTGGCATTTGCTGACATGGCTAGGCAAGGCAAGGCAAGGCATTGCATTGCCATTGTGAATGCTCTAAATACCCCGAGTAATTTATATCCTATTGTCACGCTTCTAACATTAAGTAAAAAGTACTCCATAATATATAACATTAAAGTTTACGTATATTACAAAAATTATAAATTTGGTTCCTTTTTAAAATATTGGTGCCTTTTAAATACACCTTTGCATCATATATTGAAATTTAAATGATTAAAAACATTATAAACTTAAAAAATAATCTAATTGTTTTAACATATTTACAAATCACAATCTTACAAAATAAAATAACAAATTCAATTCTCTATTCACAATAACAAATTCATAAGAATAAATTATAATATTCACAATTCACAAATATAAACATAAATATTTAGTTTAGATTAAATTATGTAAAAAAAACATAGAAAATTAAAGCAACGAATTATGACAAAAAAACAGCAAAGGGGCAAAAATGAAGATTGGGTTTGAGTTTGGAGAAATATCACCTACAGTCCTACACCAGGGATTGAACCTGGGCCGTCCAGGCAGACGTCAACATTGTTCAAACGTGGAGCATCCCACTCCTTCAACATGTCCCCAAGGTTTCATTTAGCGTTTTGTTAAATATATACAAACTCTACAAATACACCTAAAAATTTATATATATAGGTAAAAAAATTTTAAATTTCCATGGGGTCGCTTGACCCCGTATGACTCAATGTGGGTCCGCCCATGCATCTAATTATTACTCCGGGTATAAATAAAAAACATTAATGATCAAAATATTGTTTTAAAAATCCTAAAAAATTAAAACCCGAGAAAGATATGAGTCGATAAAAGTACTTAAGGTGTGTTTGGTGAACAAACAAGACATGAGTTTTGATATCTTCAGATATTAGATTTCTTTTTAAATGTCTAGTGAAACCAAAAAAGATATCGAATTGATATCTTCAGATATCATAAATCTTTCAAATAGAGGGTTTCGATATCTCCCAAATTTGAGAGATATCAATATGCGGGTTTGATATCTCTCTCAACCAATGATCATTCTTCGTCACCGGCTACCTTTGTCACCGCCAACCACCCTCTTTACCTTTATCGATCATCCTCGCTTATCACTAATTAAATCATAATTTTGGTCTGAAATGTGCTGCACTTTGAAAGTTATTTACCAACAGCAGCCATCAACCGCACGATCATCATTTCCGCAGATTCTCCCTCCGATCTCCTCTCCCTCCGATCCGAAACCCTCATCGCCATGGGAGAATCTCGTGACTCCTTCGTCCACCACGCTCTTGGCGGCGGCGCAGGTTCTCTTCTCCACCACTTTACGCTTTGAATCATCTGCGAAATTTCTTCGTATCATTGATTGTGTTCAATTGCATAACAAGCACTGCACTACTATTGATCGAATTCAATTTTCATGCGCGAGCTCCACTGCATCGTTGCCTTTAGAACTCCGTATCTTTTCCGATTAGTCACTTAATTGAGCATCCCTGTGCTTTGCGTGGATTAGTAAATTCGTGTTTTTTACTGTTCTGATCGGCGGAGTGTGCGATCCGTCTCTGTGGCAGTTGCAGATGTGCTGTTATGGAGGACATGGCATGGGAGTGTCACTGTGCTCTTAGGTTCCTCTGCTTTTTGGTTCCTATTTGAACGGGCCGGCTATAATATACTGTCCTTTGTCTCCAATGTGCTTTTGCTTCTAGTCATAATCCTCTTTTTCTGGGCCAAGTCTGCTTCACTTCTCAACAGGTAATGCTTAATCGTCCCTCCTGGTATTTAGGCTATATTATATGGCGAATATCTAACAGTACTTGAACTAGTGGGGACGCACTGGGTATTCTATTGTGTTTCATTGGTTGAAACTAACCTTTGTGTATGGGAAATGATGGTGATTGTCAGGAAGTAAAGATATGTGTTCACAGGTCTTTCTTTAATTTGAGCTTTTATCCTTTGTTTGGTTTAGGGGATAATCAGAAAAGAAAAATGAGTGATAAAGGGATGGAGAAGAGAGAAACAGGGCAGATTTCGTGTGTTTTTGGGTAGGATAGAAACTGGGATGAGATTCTGCTCCCTTCTATTTCTCTCCATGAGGGTGAAGAAATAAAAAAGAAAGTGTATTCAATAATATCCTCCCATTTCTTTCCCTTTTTTGTATTTCTCCCGTTGCACTATAACTTAACCAACTTAGTCACTTATTTGGACTTTGGAGTTCTTAATTGTGTGATTGATGTGTACTTCAAATTGTCAGACCCTTACCTCCCCTTCCTGATATGGAGATTTCGGAAGAGAGCATTGCAAATGCTGGTGAAGTGATGCGTGTTTGGGTTAACCAAGTACTAGCAATAGCACATGACATTGCCATTGGAGGGAATGTTCGGCTTTTTGTTCAGGTGTTCTTGGATTCATTGATTTCATTCTTTCATTTCCCAAGTTCCATTCAAGAATTTGCTTGTCTAATGCTTTAGTTTGGTATTGGGTTGACAGGTTGCTTTCGGCTTGTCAGCAATTTCATATGTTGGAAGCTTCTTCAACTTTCTAACTCTGATCTACCTGGGTAAGCTGTCTAGCCGATCTGTTTACTGACATGAACGCCAGCATTTTCCCTGCATAACTGCATTTACAAGGGTCTATTTGGGACCCTGTCGCCCTCGAACTTAATATATAAAAATAGGAAGGATACCAACAACAACAACAACAAACCCAGTAAAGTCCCGCAAATAGGAAGGATATGATAAAGGAAAACTAAAGGGAAACAAAGTATGCATAAAAGAAAAGATGGGATAAAATCTCTGGATGTGTTTTAGGTATTTATTGTTACTCATCTCAATGATTTTTGTCAACTTTATGAAGACGAAGCCATCTAAAAGCTAATCACTTCTTGGTTTCTAAGGTTAAAAAAACTTAGCATGTTTTTATCTACTACTCCGTATATTTTTCTAAAAGCAAATCATATCTCAGTGTCTAAGGTAAAAAACATGGCATATTTTTCCTTTCTATTCTATGGCATTTTTCATGATCCGAACATACTCTGATAAATCGTTTTGTTTCAGGAATTCTTTTCAGTCTAGCTATACCTCCACTATATGAGAAATACCAAGATCAGATTGACGATAAGCTTATTTTGGCGCATAATTTAATCCTATCACAGTATAGGAAAATCGATGTTACAATTCTGAAAAAGATTCCCATGCATCTAAACAAAGAAAAGAAGATTCAGTAGTAAAAAAAGGTGCTTGCTCCCTTTATCTCTCTCTTTCTCTCAAGTAACAAGACTGCCAGAAAGTGCCTCATTGATTACTTATTGTCTTATTCTACATTATTCAGTACACAATGTATATAGCACAGAAATGGTCTTATGTCAGTTATGTGTGTCACTGTGTATGATAAATGCATATTTTGCTTTCTATGATAAATGCACATTTTGCTCATATATGTTACTAATATACTCTTCTTCCTCTGGAGATGTACCGGAGTAAAAATTAACAATGTTGGATTGAAAGAGTAAACACAAAGTCAAAATTTTAATGCTCAAAAATGGTGAAAGAATTTGTTTTTTGTTATAAGAAAAGAGAGTCACGTTTAACCAAGACACAACTATTGAAAATCGTCAATAGTATTGCACAGACCACAGTACAACGTGTTTGTTTTTTGGAAAAATCACAACAGTTTCAAAGAAAATGAGTTCTTTTTGTTCAAATTGACCTCTTTTTTCAGAGTGCTTGTTTTTTCCACGCGGTGTCCCGTTGATGCTTTTTAATATACTGGCATGTTGCATTGTTTCACACATTTTGTCACGGAAATATAGTTTATACTTACCATGAGGTATCGTGATCTTTTGTTCCTGAGCAGGATGGGCTGCCCCGGTGCTACATAGTATAGAGAGTGCTGATAGAATGCAAATACCCTTTTTTTTATTGTTGTTGTTGAGATGTAACTAATTGTGGTAATTCATATGTTTGGCATTTGAACAAATGCAAGTTTTCTATTGTGCTTTGGATAGTCGATTGTTTGCGGTGTTCGTTGTTGATTCATTTTACGACTCTGATGTTCATGGCTTTCCATTGCAACCTCGTGTGCTGTTCCTTTTTTGTGTGTGGGGGAGAAGAACAATATCTTGAAATGCCCGTGATCGAATCTACCTGGTGTTTAAGATTGTAAACAAATCGAATCAAACCAAAGCATTTAAATCTATATTTGTTTATTTTTTTTGAATTCAAATATGAAACAAATTTTAAATGAGTTTTTGTTTGATTGATATTCAAATAATTAATGAATATCTAAGTAGTGGTAAATTTTGTTGCTTAGTAGTCAACAACAATCCAGTAGAATTTTGCATCGGTGGGGAGGATATGTGCACTCATGATAGTTATGTACACTATTTTTTGCTTACTAAATAGTTCTAATTGAAATGATAGTAGGCAAAAAAGCTGTATACAATGTTAAAAAAAAATATTGTCATTATAATTTATGGATTATATACTACTTTGTATACTACTTTGTACTTTGTATGTATTAACTGGGCTTATATTTATTTATTAATACAAAAAATAATTATTTGATTTTTCAACATATTTATATAAAAGGATAAAGTAGTAAAATCTCAAAGTCTAAATCTATAAATACTAAGTAATCCGGATAATTAATTTGAGCCAGAGGAAATAAATACTACAGTACTTTTGTCCCACTTTTTTTTTCTTTTTAAGATTTTGATTTTTTTGGGTTAATTTTCTTCATACTTTGAACATTAAAAAATATGGAGTATAATTTATATAAATAAATCTTATAAAAATTTAACATATCAAAACCATATCTCAAAATAAACTCAAATATATTAAATTTATATTATACTCAATTGAATATCATATTATAATCAAAGTTAATAAAAAATGACTAAAAACATCAAAATGTAGAAGAAAAAAAATTGAGACGGAAAGAGTATTCAAATACGTAGTTGTGACGGAGTAAAGAGTTGGGAGCACTTTAGATTAGCTAAATAACAATGTCAAACTAACAAAACAAAAAAAACTAATAAACATATAATGCTTTTTTATTTGCATTATTATTCACTTGCTATACCTGTTACACATGCTTGAGTTGGGTTCTCTTGAAAACATCCTCTCTATTTTCGAGTTTACAAAGTGGAATTTTATTCGGGACTCTACTTTTTGTGGAATTTTAATACCTCTTACACAGATCATTTACATAGAAAATGACTTGTTTTTACAACAAATTGAACCTTATTATGTGGTTGGGATAACAAATGTGAAATGTAATGGGCATCGATCTTGGAACGGGTGATTAAAGACCGAGCGAAGACTCGAGGAATTTCTCGGCGTAATCCAGGCCACAATGTGTCTTCACCGCGGGCATAATGGCAGGGACGTCCAGATGGAAGAACGGATCATCAAGCCCGTGGTCATGGTCGTCCAGCTTTCCCCAAACTTTGAGCTGTTTTCTGGCTTCCCTGATGGCTGCCCGTGTTGCACAGTGGACTGAAGCCGCCAGAAGAAGGGGTGGCTCGCCTGAGGCTGCATGCAAAATCATAGACATTGAGATATATAAAAACATTCACGGGCCTTCAACTACAAGCTCGAGTGTTTGGTTAGGTATTGATTCTTTGAAGATGATGATGTCATCATGGCGTTGTTGATCTCGTTATCTTCAACCACGAGCTTCAGCTTGTGGTTGAATCGGTTCCTTTCATGATAATGAATTCATTGCCCAAGTCATTATCAACCGAGTCACAATGCGAACTTGTTAAAACACGTTAAAAGATTTAATCTGATCAACAAAAACAATACCAAACGCAGTAAAATCCCACGAAAGTAGGGTCTGAGGTGTTTGTACATTGTTAGACAAATATTTAATCTAAAATGTTTATACTCATTGAAATTTTCATTAGAGCACTCATCACAAGAGAGAACAAAAGGTTCTAGACGTTTTATAGTTAGTTGTTTAGAGAGTTTTTTTCTTTGAGCATAGAAACAAAGCAGCGATTAATCAAATAGACAATGTTATACGGACCTTTAGACGAGAGGACACGATTTTGGTGATGCCCGCTGTTGAGTACCTCAACGTGGAATTGTTGTGGGACAGTGTCAATGGTTGGGACCTTATATGTCCAAGTTCCATCGGACACCACCAGTCCGTCCTTGTTTGTAAGATACTCTTCGAGCATAAAAAACCCGACTCCTTGAACAAAAGCTCCTTCAATCTGCAACGAATGTGATTATTTTAGAAGCTACACAAAGCACCCGCATTGGTCCAAAAATTGTCATGAAGTCCACTCTATGAGCTAATATTGAAATTCAGAGATGGGAAAAAGACTAAATTAGGAGTAAAAAATAGAAAACATACCAAAATTAGAGTTCCATATTTTTATTCCCGAAATAGGTGTTAAAATGCATATACAATGCCAATGATGCCAATATATAATACAAAAAAGTATTGTGAAATGTTGATATATAGTGCAACATTATCAATGTGCAAACTCTTATTTTGGGGATAAAAACATAGAGCTCTTATTTTGGTACTTTCTCTATGTTTTATTCCTATTTAGAGTGATTTCTTAAGATTTTGTCATGGCCAGTTGAAGCGGAAAAAGAAGAGGCATGTGGAGAATGACCTGTCCCAAATCAACAGCAGGGTTCAAGCTCTGTCCACAATCATATATTATATCCGTTCGCATGATTCTTGATTCTCCCGTCAGAACGTCTATTTCCACCTACACTACCAATATTGTTTTTAGCTTTAAATTTTCCCATAGCAGGCTAGCCGCTTTTGTATGTACTCCCTGCATTCACTTTTAACTTTTAACTGACTTGATACATTAAAAAAATGAATGAATGTGTCAATGTAGACATGATGCATATCTACATTCATTCAACTTTTCATATACCACAAAAATCACAAGGGAAAGTTAAAAGTAAATGGTGGGAGTATTCTGAAATAACGTAAATAAAAGATTATGAGAATGGATATAACTCTACGCTTCAACAAAAACGGAGAAGTGAACAAAAAGATTACCTCACTAACGGCAGCCCCATAATTCAAATAAATCATGGAACTCAAGTCCGGAACGTAGTAGGAATTCACCGCTAAGTTCACAGCTTCACCATGTGCCTGTAATGAGCAAAAAAGCTACGATAAAGTTTCAAAATAGTTTACCACAGGCAAAATACATCAACCTGTTTGGGGGGTATGTTGATATTCTACCAGGCATGTTGAGTAAACCCTGTCATGTCTAGCTAAAGCTTCTGGTTGTAGGCCCAAGAAAGGTTTAATACTTTAACATTAAAAAAAGCAACAAACCTGGAGAATCAGTGTTTTCCAATCAATGGACCCCAGTTGTTCCTGCAACTTCGTCTTCAAGGGGTTCAATCTCTCAACCAAAACTTCGCAGCAAAGCCTTACAGCTTCACAGCTTGATTCTGACGTGGTGCTCCCCGCAGTAAACCCACCTTGTACTAAGCTCAATGTGTCTGATTGTACGACCCGTACCTTGTCCACGAGCTCATCCGTTCGATCACATTGAATCAAACCGAGACCGTAAGCAGCCATCTGTTTCACCTTCGTCCACAGCCCTTGTCCCAATTCGACCCCTCCAACCTCAACCACTACCGAGCCATCCTGCAAAATGCTCACTTTTGCAGGAGTAGGCCTGTGCATAACGTGAATTACAACCGGGACCCTAGAAATACCCCTTTTCTTCCACACATTTTCCCGGTTGAATCGATCCACCATCTCACTTCTTCCTAAGAAGTTGGAAGATTTACCCAGTTTGTCCATAATGCTAGGCAAAGTGTAATCCGCTAAGTCGCCCCCACTATGCCCGTAGAACAAATTAAGGCTCTCAAAAGTGTGGAGATTTTTCAATCGCACCGAATCCACGTCCATTGATAGCACAGACGCCACATGTTCAATAACAACTTCGGCGATAAAACATCCTTGGACCTCACCAGGCCCCCTCATTGCTGACTTGCTAAAAAGATTTGTTTTGCACACCTTAATATCAAAAGATAGGGCGCCCCAATTGTATTTCTTGATTGCCCCTATCATGTTCATTGGTATGGCTGGGCTTATGTCTGCCGTTACACCGGCATTGATCAGTATGTCAAGGTGTAAAGCTGTGATCTTTCCGCCGGACATGAACCCAACACTGTAAGTTATTTCCATGGGATGTCTCCCTCCGGCCATGATCATGTCGGTCTTCCGGTCGAGGTATATCCTGACGGGGCGGTTCAATTTGTGAGCAGCAAGTGCACATGCTGTGGACACCTATATTATCAGGCACTAAAAATAAGTTAATAATTTACATTCCCATAAATTTATGAAATCTATAAATGAAAGTTTATAATAGAACCAAAGAGCATGTATTTATTAAAAAAAATCATTTTAATACTTCCAGAATTTCGACCTTTTACACGAATCCTCCAATATTACATAATTACCACAAATGCCAACAGAATTAAAATAATTTTACAATAACTCCATGAAAATTTTAGGAGCGTACACATGTTGTTGTTGCAACTCCACGAAAGTTTTGATTTTACATGGATCTTCCATTTTTTTCATGAGTATTGGTGATCACTTTGTAATCTTGAAGTATTATTGCATAAATATATAAATTCTTGGAGCACAGATGATAAATTTGTGTGATCTTAGAGAGAGTGTTCATGTAAAATCTCAATTTCGAGGTGGATTGAAAAGAAACTTCCCAAGATAATATCAAGAATTTAAAGGAACGTCTAATATGGATATGGGTTTTCCAACTCACAGGCATTGCTCTAACAGCCTTGCCACCAAAGCCACCTCCAACCCTTCTTGTAATCACACGGATATTATGCTCAGGAACACCGAGACAGCTGGCAATCACGCTTTGTGCAAACTCAGGGCACTGGCTTGAACTATATACAAGCATGCAGTTGTCTTCATCAGGAACTGCTAGAGAAGTCTGTGTCTCCATATAGAAGTAGTACTGTGACCCGAGACTAATCTGCAATATGTTGATCAAAGAAGAAAAATCTGTTACTCATGTGCAAAACAGTTTTTTGTAGCCACAAAATTTTGTTCGAAAGGCATTATAGCCAGACTTAAACAAGGGCATTTTGATAATTTAAAGGGCATCTTAATATGCTTGACATTCTCTAAATAAATATTGTGCTTAAGTCGGCATATAGTGAACAAAAAGGCATTTATAGCAAGACTTGAATAAGGGAATGTTGTTCATTTTATAGGGTTCCTTAGTATGTGTGAAATTCTCTAAATAAATACTTAAGTATGTGTATTGAGAATGATAAATGCATTCATAAACAGACTTAAATAGAACAATTGGTGGAATAGAATACTCCCTCTGTCCTAATTCTTTTTACCAAGTTTAACTTTCATGGAGAAATCTTGTGAGCCACATATTTATTAGTCGGTTAGTCCCCCCCCCCTCCCATAACAATATTCCACTTTACTATTCAAATGGCCAAACTATATTCACTCTTTTTTTAAAATCTATTTTCATTGATCTTTGATAAAATAAAGTAGTCTTGTCACCACTTATTTTTTAGAACTTTAGTATTTGTTAAATATTTTAATTTTATTTAATAATTCTACTATAATCTTTATAGAAATTGAATTGAAAATAACTTTGGTCAAACATCATAATCCGAAACTAAATCATTATTATGGGATGATGGGAGAACTAAAATAGGAAATAAAGTGAGCTTAAAGTATTTTTTGGAGAGCCCAAAAAGAAAAATTGAGTTAACATTTTTGGGATGGAAGGAGAATTTAATTATCAAAGAACAATAAGTTAAGAAAGAAATTGTGGTTTGACCAATGGATAGTAACTCTGAGACGGGTAGAATGGCTAATAAAAATTGCTACCTTTGCTGAGAGAATCTTGTGCTCTGCTTCAGCCATTCCTTCAGAGAAATCACCAACACCTATTGGGAACAACATTGGAGGGACTTCAAAAAAACTTGATCTCTTAACAGCTTCCTCAACCGTTAGGATGGGAGGATCCAAATTTTTAGTATCATACTCAACTACAGCCATGTTCGCTGCTGCATTTGCATGCTTTTGACTGTCTGCAACCTGGGAAGTAAATGCAATGCTTCAAACAAACATTTGACAATTTTGTTCATGAAGTACTTGAGAAGTGATAGATTTCAATTTCATAATTTGATTAGATCACTCAAATGGATCACAGGTACCACCTCCACCTTACCCGAATAAACACGTTTCGAGTCATAACAATAAGTAAATATTGCAGAAGCCTTACTTTTTCTGGAAAAAAAATATAAGTAACAGAAATATGGCTCACCACAAAAGCAATTCGGTCACCCGCACATCTGGTAAAATCATCAGCAAATAGAGGTTCAGGGCCAAAAATGGTTTTAGATCCTATGTTCTTCCCTCCCGTAGGGATATCTTTGAAAGTGATAACACAAGCAACCCCGTTTGGTAGTGTATCGGACTTAAAATTAATTCCATTTACCCTTGCTAAAGGTTGTGTACTATAAATATATGCTCCATACAGACAATTTGGTGGAGATGGAATATCATCTACATAAACAGCTTCACCTGGAAAAAATCACTGAAACACTTTAATTAGTCTTAAAAACAACAATTTTCATTTTTTATTAAAAAAAAGAAATAAAAATATATGATGATAAATTACATTTGGCACAATGAGTTTCTAACTAGAACTAGAAAGCTAAAAGCTATTAATTTACGTAAAGTGCATAGTTTGTAAGGCGTCGCCTAGGCGATAAGGCGCTATCACTGGGACGCCTTGTCTGCTCGCCTCGCCTAGAAAACCATAAGGCGACCAGGCGCTCGCGTAGGCGCCGCCTTTCCTCGCCTTACCTTGCCTTACCTCGCCTTAATTCGCCTTACCTCGCCTTGATGCCTTGGGCCACTTTAAAATTTTGAAAAAACCAATTTTTTAGTGCAGCCCATTTCTTTTAGTGTAGCCTAATAGACTTAGACTTATCTTCTCTCTCTCGGTCTTCTCTGTCAAGCTTCCTTAAAATGTATAAGACCTATATATACATATATAAATATATAAATATAAATATATACACACACACACACACATGTAGGTATGTATGTCGCCTAGTCATCGCCTAGGCGCGCGCCTAGTCGCCTAGGCGATATGAAGGTGCATTGGCGCCCCGCCTCGCCTTGCCGCCTTACAAACTATGGTAAAGTGTTTGCTAAACTTTTTGCTAAATATACAAAATAAACTAGAACTAAAATTTTGAGTTAAGATCTTTTGACACCCTTCATGTGTGTCATGTCATAATATGACACCATGTGATTTGAGGGTCTTGGGGTGTTCTCTTCAACTCCAAAGTGATTCCTACCAGCTACCCCCTAACCTCCTTGGCTCCCTCATAACCCCCGCCCCTCTTTCACTGTAATGCTTTAGTAAATATGTAGCATAAGCGCATAACGCAAAATGGAAGGGGGCTAGGGAGGGTTGGGGTAGTGGAGGGTTAAGGGGTAGGAATCACTTCGGGGTTGAACGGAGCACCGTAGGGCCCTCAAATGGCATTGAAACCCATAATGGGTGTCAAAAGAGCCACAGCGTTAAATTTTAATGACAAACCAATCAAAGGAAATCTTTAAATGAAACCCTTAGGTTAATCTTTAAAAAAAGTTCAAATCTTTTTGCTATTGAAAACAGTTTTTGAAATGAAACTCTTGTTTTAAACACTTATTTAATTTACCTATATGTCTTTGATCCTTTAACTCTCAATACCAAATTAGCAATAAATATCCCATCTACTAGCATTTACAAAACCGAGCAGATGCAAAATAGTAAAATAAAACATGAGTCTTTCATGAACAGAGTGTAATACATATCATAAAGTGCATTATGAAGTACAAACCAGAAGCTTGGAGGGCAGCTCCAGATTTGATTAATGGTTCACCAACTGGATAGTAATCTTTAGTGGACTCAACAAACTGCTTAGCAGAAGACAGCAATGCCCGTTTTTCACTTGCACAATAGTTATTATCATTACTTACTTTGGAGTTCTCCTCTACAAAAGTAGGATCAACACCAATGAGGCCATGGAAGAACTTGAAAAGAAAACCAGAAATTAAGCTTGATCGGTACTCGGGATAAGATGTGCCAGCTTTAGGAACCACAGTTACCTTTACTAGTTTAAGTGCTTCATACAAAACATTGACATTTATTATCTTTCCCACTAAATAACACTCAACCTTTCTTGCACGTATTGCACGTTCTGTCCCAAATGCTCCAAAAGCCAGGCAGATATGATTTACCAAATAACCATCTTTGGTCAGACTAACATCTGCCAAGAAGGCAGCATTTGCATATGGCAATGCATTTCCAAGGGGTCGGGGTGAAGCCCGATAAGTTTCAAACATCATTGTGGGGACTAGAGCACCGGTTTTTATCGGTTCCCAAAACGGGATCCACACACTCAGTAGCACGGTACTTGACCAGTCAATTGTTGGCCTTTCAAGGAATTCCTCCAATGTGAGCTTCTCACGCTTGTGACCCATCATTAGAGTAACACTTGACCCCAGAGCAAGAAGCAAAGTAGATATATCCGACGGGAACCCATTCTTCTGTGCCATGACCAAATTGCCCCCAACACTAGCCAAGTTCCTAATGAAACCTGTGTTGAAGTATAGAAAATCGCAAATTATAGAAATATAATAATCCTAGTTTTAGTATTATAGTTTCCTATTTTCATTCTAGGTTGCACGGATTCTTCAACTGCCTCTTCCCACCCCCGAAACGTGCCCAACCGGTTACTTGGGGACTTCCCGATACCCAAATCCTTTATAAATTTTGGGAAATTGGCATTTTCAGGCTTCCGAACTCGTCCCGGTATAAGTACCCGCTCCCGTCTTGGGGCAACTTAGTTTTCATTAGGTTTAGGGTCTAGGTTTCCTATTCCCATTAAGGTTGATCCCATTATTTCTCTATATATAAGGATTGTAATCATGTCCATTGTCAATGGAGCTAAAATAATTGTAATTGGCAATGTTTTAGCTTTGGGTAAACAATGGACAAAATCAAAATGACACATTAAACTTCCTTGGCTTCTTACTCATAGTGAAGTTTTGGGTAGTAAATGCATCAAGGGTCTAATGAATAAAGTCTCTGTATTTTACATGAGCAAGGTTGCATACATCTTGACCCCTAGACCCCAATGAAGTTGGATTATATGGAGTACCAGGTAGTTGTTATACAAGCATTGTAATACTTCGTAGTATTTAAAAGAGACTCGTCAATAAAAGTAGTACTTCTTCATTCAACAACCTGGGCCAATTTTCTCCATATGATCAGCAACTTTTTTGAAGATCAAACCACCCGATGAACATGAATCGACTTTACTTCCCTCCCTTATGAATAAAATCAATTTAGAGATAGTAACTGCAGATCCAACTTCAATTCCTGTGTGGTCCCTCTTAGTTTCCGAGAGTTCCGGGATATGCCTAAGGTCAATGTATTTGTCACACTCTTCAAGTTCTTTGTAATACCCCCTTCCCGTATTACCCACAACCAGTTTAGCGTGTTCCCTGTTTTCAGCCACTTTACTTCCCAGCAAGTCTTGTAGCTCCTCCAAACTAATGGGACAGTACCAAGGGTATCTTTGGGAGTCCAAACGAATAGCAGACGTGCGTTCAGATTTCAAAAACTCGGGATATGTACAGATGTTGCTATTACTTGGATCATAAAAAGGTAACTTTTTAATTTTCACTTCCCTGCTATCCTCCTGTTTCCAAAAAGAATTGAACCCCAAATCTTCAATATCAATATCAGCAGCAAAGCTTTTGCAGGCATCCGCTATAGGACGATATCCGGTACAACGGCAAAGATTCCCTGAAATAGCCCTTTCAGCTTCAGACACTGTCAGCTTGGAAAATCCCGGAGGGGGTTCAGGCCGATGAAGTTTTTCAGCATTGAGAAGAGCAGTGAACAGTGAAACGCATATTCCGGGGGTGCAAAACCCACATTGAGAAGCATGAAAACCAGCAAACCTTTGGTGAATTGGGTGGAACCCGTTTTTTATGTTTCCAATGCCTTCACTTGTTGTAACTGAACAGCCATTTATACTGCCAAGAAGGGTCAGGCATGAACTGACTGTGTAATTTTCTACACGTTTATTCCCGGTGTCATACTTTGAGAGAAGGACTACACATGCTCCACAACCACCTGCAATGGTTTTAAACTTGATCTTTTAGTGTTCATTCTCTTTTTTCCTCATTGAATCATGTAGTGCTTAAACTTATAGATAAATTATAGGGTGCTTGAAAATCAAGCTCATTGTGTTGCACTTTGTCCAATAAGTACAAAGTTTTGGTCCAAAACTTGTTTTTTTAAGCACTTTGGTGACCAGTTTTTTGGGGCACAACTCTTCAAATAAAAAACACAAAAGGGTGGACTTTTATCAAGGGATGTTACGGCTTCGTTTAGGAAAAACACTTGTGATGAGCGATCCGAAAGTTTTCTAATGGTGCAAATTAACTTTGAAAACGCTATATCCAAAAAGCTAAAAGAATTCGCTCGAATCTTCAAAACTATGAAGCTGGCGCCAAACGGAGCCTAATTCGAACAAACAGATCTACCAACTAAGGCGATTGAATCAGAGGGTTCTACAACTCCAACAAAGAACCAAATACCCAACGAATGAAACATGGAAGAAATCACAAGCCAATCCACACACACACACACACAAAACACGTTTCTACATGAAGAAATTGAAGAACTAAAGCGTTCAGTTTCATACAGAGATATGGAAAAAGGCACCTTCACCGCAGCCGAGTTTGGGGCTCTTGAAGCGAGTGTGGGAGCGCAAGAAGTGAAGCAAAGTAGTGGAAGGGGGAGCAGAAGAAGGCGTGAGCTCGAACTTCTCCCCATTTACAGCAAAAATCAAGCTTCCATTTCCTCTGCTGCTAACATCACGCATCTCTTTCAGCTCGTCCATTAGACCGTCTGAATTAAGCCCTTCTAAATATATAATCGTGGAAGAAGAAATCTTGTTAGTTTGGGGCTGGAAGTAGCTAGCTCCCACAAATCTTTGATTACTTAATGCACCCCCAAACCTCCTTCAATTGCACCATATCTCATTTTGATCAAATATTTAACCATATAGTCAACTAAATAAAAAGTAGTGAGATTGGAAGGGGTGCGGGTGATTCAGGAACTGGCTGAGCTTGAAGAGTTTAGAGTGAGAATTAGTAGGGGTAAGAACAATCAATTTTATAAATGAAGATCCGTAGATCCTTCAAATAGAGTGCTGTTATTTTTTTTGTGGTAAGATTAAGCCTCCTTGAAAGAATTTAGAATTGGGGAGAAATTCTCTTGTATTTCTTATTATTTACAATATACAGAGATGTCATATATATATATAGGTTCTCACAGCCTGAGACCGAATATGGAAACCATCAACAATAGGAAACAAATCACTATACAAGAAAACTACCAAAAGTAATATATACGAAAATATATGGGAATATATTCAAATATTCTCTTTCCTTCTTTAACACCCTCCCTCATGTTGGAGCATGCAACAAAGAAATGCCCAACTTGGGAATAAGAAACTCCAGCCGTGACTTCCCAAGTGCCTTCGTATGAATATCTGCACACTGATGTGTAGTAGGCACATGAAGTGTACGAATCTCTCCACGTATAAGCTCATCACGAGCGAAGTGACAATCAATCTCAATATGCTTCGTATATTCGTGAAAAACCGGATTAGCAGCGATGTGAAGTGTTACCGTACTGTCGCAACGAATGGGCATGAAGTGTACGAATCTCCAAGACATCGCAACCCCTAGACATCGCAGGGTTCTTATGCTCAACCCCTAGACATCGCAACAAATTCTTCAACCATTTCAACTCACGTATAATGGCAGGTAGAGCTCTATATTCAGCCTCAAGAGACGAGCGAGCAACTGTTGTTTGCTTCTTGGTTTTCCACGAGACAGGTGAATCTCCAAGCTGCACAAACCATCTTGTCAGAGAGCGCCTCATTAATGGACATGCTGCCCAATCTGAATCACACCATCCTGTGAGCTGAAGACTACTCTCTGCAGATAGAGAAATGCCCTAACAAGGACACCCCTTCAAATAACGAACAAGCCCAAGACCTGCAAACCACTGATCCTCCCTGAGCTCCTTCAAAAATTGTGTTAAAGTATGGACTGCATAAGAAAGCTCTGGTCGTGTAACACGGAGATAGACTAATCGCCCTACCAAACGGCGATATGGTTCTAGATCCGTAAGAACAGGAGCTTGGGAACTAGCCAAATGATGATTCGGCTCCATGGGTGCACCCAACGGCCTGACACCTAACAATCCTGCATCAGTAATAATATCCAAAGCGTACTTCCGTTGGCCGAGAAAAATCCAGACGTGCTCCTCGCCACCTCAATGCCAAGGAAAAATTTCAGTGTTCCCAAGTCCTTCATATGAAAACAATCTGCCAGATATGCTTTGAACTTGCTCACCATCTCTGTATTATCTCCAACAAATATTCAAATCATCAACATAAACCAAAACATGTATTGCTCTTTTCTTCCCAACAAAAGAAAATAAGGAGTAATTAGGAACAGACTGGACAAACCCATAACGTTTCAAAGCTCGAGACAACTTTGCAAACCAACACCTTGGAGCTTGTTTTAAACCATAAAGAGATTTCTTCAGTTTGCACACCACATTAGAAGAATTTGAAAAACCTGGTGGCAATCTCATGTATACCTCATCCTCAAGATTCCCAAGTAGAAACACATTATGCACATCCATCTGATGCAACTCCCATCCCTTTACAGCTGCAACTGCTAGAAGAGTCCTCACTGTAGTTAACTTGACCACATGAGCAAATTTTTCCTTATAGTCAAGTCCTTCAGCCTGATGATTGCTAAGTATAACCAGTCTGGCCTTGTATCTCTCCACACTTCCATCGGATTTGCGCATGATTTTGTACACCCATTTGCAACCAAGAGGCTTTTTATGACACGGAGGATAGACAAGAGACCACGTGACATTAGCCTCCAGTGCATCAATCTCCTCTCACATTGCCTTCCTCCATCGTTCATCCTGGAATGCCTTCTTGAAACTCGTGGGCTCCGCTTCAACATCAAGTGCGCTGAGAAAACACTTGTGTTTGTCACAGAACTTCTCGTAAGTGACATACGACGAGAGAGGATATTTGCATTTTTCTCCAACATATGGACCAGCTACATGGGTAACATAATCTGCAATGCACACATTTGGACGTTTCTCACGTTGACCACGTCCCAAGTTCTCCACTACATGCTAGGAAGGTGACGGTCGACCGCCATCCGTGGGACGGTCCACATGATCGACCTTATGAAACTGTTCCTGATCGCCCATATTCTGCCTCGAAGACGGTCGACCGTCCTCCACATCACGGTCAACCGTTTGATCATTTCCCAAGAGTCCGTCATTCTGCCTCTTGGATGGTCGATCGTGGACATCAGGATGGTCCACCGGGTCGACCGTCTGTAGCCTGTGTACTTCTCCACTTTCCGCCAGTCGACCGTTCCTCATGGAACGGTCCAGCTGCTCTTCCGCGAGCGTCTCTTCATCGTCTTCAAAGTAATTGATCGAGGGGGAGCTACTCGATCCACCTTCATCTGAGGTTTCACCTGCGGAAATCAAGTAAAGAAAAATGTTGTCACAAAATACAACATCCCGTGACACACTGATCTTCCTAGTGTTCGGGAAATACACGCGCCATCCCTTCTTTCCTTGAATTGTGGGTAACCCAAAACTATTTCAGGAATACTTCTGGGTGCAAATTTATTTCCATCCCTCTTCAAATTGTGAACATAACATCTGCAACCAAAAACACGAATGTGAGTCAGCGCAGGGGCCCTTCCATAAAGCTTCTCATACGGTGTAACCCCCCTAGCAATGAAGAGGGTGTGCGGTTGATCAAATATGTCGTAGTTTGTACACAATCTCCCTAAAACTCAATCGGAAGCCCCGCTTGAAATCTTAGAGCTCGACCCACATTCAGAATGTGACGATGTTTGCGTTCCACTCTTCTATTCTGCTGCGGTATAGACAGACAAGATGTCTCACGAACAATTCCTTTTTCCTGGAAACATTCATTCAAGAATTCGAATTCTGTTCCATTGTCACTGCGAACACACTTTATTTTCTTCCCAAACTGACATTCAACCATTACACAAAATTGCTTAAAAACACTTCCTACAGTGCGCTTAGAATCAAGCAAATATACCCACACACCGCGAGAAAAATCATCCACAGTAGTTATAAACATTGTAGAACCATCCAAACTCAGCATCCGATAAGGACCCCATAAATCACAATACACTATATCAAATTTGTCCATATATTGATGAAAACTGATGGGAAAACTACCACGAGTTTGTTTAGCACGCAAACGGACTTTACAATGACTATGACTACTTTTATTTGATCTAACTACAGGAACTAAAGACAACATGCGAAGAAGGATGTCATAGACGCTTGTGCCAAAGATCAAAAGAATTCTTCTTTCCTCCTTCTTCAAATAGTATAGTCCTCTTTTATGTTTACCCAAACCAATTGTTGTCCTCAAACTTAGGTCATGTAATATGCACAAATCATTGGTGAACTTTGCCTCACAGTTCAAATCCCTCGTCAGCTGTGAGACATAAATCAAATGGCAATTCAATGTTGGAACAAATAACACATTCTGCAATGTCATAGTCATTGTTAAATCAACCTTTCCATATTGAATAGATACTACTCGTTTTTCATCAAGTAACCCAATTTCACACGGAGTCACACCCACCACATCATACAATAACGAAAGATCACGTGTCATATGATTTGATGCACCAGTATCAATAATCCAATGTGGTGACACATGAATACTTGTAAGTTTCTGATTGGTGTCTGTAGGGAACATTGAAAGGGTATGACGAACAGTGTTCCACTGCTCCGGAGTCAGATCCTCGAAATTAGGCAGCGGTGAAGGTCCTTTTTCCTCTCCTTGAACAGCATGGACTTCACCTCATCCGCCATGAACGGTCGACCTTCCAGTCCCTACGGTCGACCGTCCGCCACCTCGTCCAGTACCACGGCCTCTCCATCGGCCGTTTCCTCTTCCTCTTCCGGCCTGATTGTGGAGCACCCGTACCCAATCAGCTTGTAGCATGCATCAATCTCATGCCCTGATTTGCCACAATGAGAACACACAAGCTCCCTCGTGTCAACCTTATTCTTCACTGCGAACACGGAAGCACCTGCATCACTACTCTCTCCTTTGTGCATGTTGTTCCGTGTCGTTTCATCAGAAACAAGAATATTGTAAATTCTTCGCACAGGTGGTACATGCTTCTGTGCCAGTATATTCGACCGCAGACTCCCATACCATGCATCATTCGAGCCCATCAAAAACTGATGGGAGCGTTCCCTCTCTCACATCTCCGCGAGCTTCTCCTGTAGACCACACGTGCAGTTCTTGCACGTACACATTGGGAATCGTTCAAGCTCCACAAGATCATCCCACAACTTCTTTATCTTCCCATAATATTCCACTATGGGAAGATTCTTCTGTTTGCACTCCGCTAATTCTCGCTTCAGCTGTTAAACCCTTGGTCCATTCACCACAGAGAAGCGGGCATTCAGATCATTCCACAGATATGAGGTTCTCTCCACGAACGATATGCTAGATTTCAAGGTTGGATCAATAGTATTCCGAATCCAAGAGACCAGCAAGGAGTGATTTGTCCATCAATCATCATAATCGTCCGACTCAGGATTATGCATCTCAATCGTTCCATCAACACATCCAAACTTCTTGCGTGCTCGAAGAGTAAAACACAGAGATTTGGACCATTCATCATAATTATCTCCCTTCATGACGACCTGGGTCAAAAGCATATCCGGATTATCGCTAGGAGATAGATCGTATGGAGAGATGCGACAACGTCGCACCCCAACTTCCTCTTCCTCACGTTCCTCATTCTTCTTGTTGGAAATAATCTTCAATTCATGGATGACTCTTTAGACATACCGGATGACGAAGGTCAACGATGGAGCAAACAACAGTAGTGACCAAGACAATCTACTGACGGAACGGTCGATGCACTCGACCGTTCTGTAGCAACGGTCGATGCACTCGACCGTTCTGTAGCAACGGTCGACCGTTCCGGAACTCGGCAGCAGCAACGGGTGACAGAAGACCTGACGACGATCGATGGACGCGATGCCGGTCGACCATGAACAGTAGTTGCGGAAATCCTCTAGGGTTTTGGCTCCGATGAAAGAATTTAGAACTGGGAGAAATTCTCTTGTATTTATTATATTTACAATATACAGAGATGCCATATATATAGGTTCTCACAGCCTGAGACCGAATATGGAAACTATCAACAATAGGAAACAAATCACTATACAAGGAAACTACCAAAAGTAATATATACGAAAATATATAGGAATATATTCAAATATTTCCTTTCCTTCTTTAACACTCCTTTTTCTTTTTTAGCTAATTTTTGCTCATCATTCTTTTCTTCAACCAAACATGAACCATTCTTTTCCATACTCCTATTATTATTATTTTTATTTTTTTATTAATTCGTTGAATCAAAGATAGTAGTACGTATTAGGGAGAAGAAAAACTAAACCACCATGAAAATAAAGGTATATCTTGTCAATCATCCAAGAAATTAATTAAACCTCAAGATAAATATCTCCTACACCATACAATTCTCTTCCATGTGTGTTTTATTTCTTAGCTTGTTGTGTGTGTGTGTATATATATATATACGGAGTATAAGTTAACCCAACTACAATAGAGCTCGAAGATCATACAAGAAACGAAAAGAGTTGAATTAATCAATGGTATCAATAATTAAAGGGAAATCAGTTGTGGGTGCTGGAATTTCAAAAGGAACCATCACATTTAAGTTTGATGTGCGAGGTAATAATTATATCATTTTTCCCATTTATTAAATTAATCTTCTTTTTTTGGAGCTAAATTAATCTATTATATTTACAGACTAGGATAGATATATTACCTCCGTCTCTGAATATTTGTCCAGTTTTGACATTTTGCGGTCAATTATATTATTTTTAATTTTTGACACATAATTAAATAAAATATATATGGTAAATTAATTAGACAAAATAATATTTTTAAAAATATTTTATATATATAATAAATTTAATAAAATTATTTTTTTTATTAATATCTAATACTCCCTCCGTTTCACATAACATGCACTTCCGCCCTATTCTTTCGGGCACCCCATAAAACATTTCTAATCCACTTAAAATGTTTAAATTATTCTCAAAGTAACTTCAACCCGCAATAAACTACGAAATTGAAGTGAATTTTAGACATTTTAAGTGCAGTAGTAGTATTTTGAGGGATGCGCAAAAAATTAGGACGGAAGTGTTCTGTGAAACGGAAAGAGTATCACTTTCATTTAATTTTTGGTCAAAATTTGTCAATTTTGATCGACAAAAGTCAAAAGTAGACAAATATTCGAAAACGAAAGTATTATATACGAGCATTGTGCTAAAAAAAGAGTTGCGTTTTCGAGCATTCGTGTGTGTGTGTGTGTGTGCAGGTTTGAGGAAGGAAGAACTAAAACTAGAGTATATTCAAAGAAGGAGAGGGCCAAACAAAGTGAGAATAAGAGGAGAAAGGTTTGAACAGGAGATAGCCTTTTCTGAAGATTTGGACGCTGGTGATATTCATGCATTGTTTCACAATGGCTTTCTCACTCTCAAACTCGTCAAGAACAAGACCTCTAATAACACTACTGCTAGAACATCATCATCATCATCATCTAATGATGATGATGAACAAGTAACAGAAATCAAGATTTCCGAGGAACGAGGAGGAGGAGGTATTGATACCAAACATACAGTCATGATCGCCGAGGTTGGTTGGCGTTTTCTCTTAAACTTATAACTACAAGCTTTCACTTTCGGTTGAGTTGAACGGTAGTTTCTTGACATATCTAGTATATATCAAGCCTTCACGATCGCGTTTGAAATAAACTCATTGTTTAAAAAAAAGAGAAATTTACCTAAATAGGACTAAAACATAATGACTTTCCCAATATAGGACCATATGTTTTTATTTCCCAATGTAGGACCTTTGGTCATTATTAATTAGTTATTATTCAAGTAAATGTCCATCATTACTGGACATTATTCCTCCCACTAAGACATTATTAAGTCTTATTTAAGGAATAAAAAAATTTAAATCCTACATTAAGAAAGTCATTATGTTTTAGTCCTATTTAGTGCAAATTTCACTAAAAAATACTCCCTCCGTTTTTTAAACTTTGTCTCCTTTCTTTTATTTGTTGTCCCACGAACTCCTTCCTTTTTTCTATCAAAAAACAACTTCTACCCCTATTAATTTTTACACTACTTATCACATCATACATTTTTATTAATAACTTATCTATCACATCTTATTTTTATCCATCACTGCATCATGATCATTTTTTTGAAAGTCATCGCAAAAAGATCTCTCCATTAAATTCTCGATCAAAAAGTCAACAAGGGAAGAACTTTAAGGGACAGAGAGAGTAATAATTAAGATTTCACGTGCAAAGTTGAAGCGACTACAACTACATGTGAAGAAGGGCATGCTAAAAATTACGTATATTCTTTTAAGGAAAGCCTTGCAAGGCAAAAAACCTTAATTAATTAATTAATTAAATAATTAATTAATTAATAATACTTTGTCTTTCCAACACGTTATATATGTATTTTCAGCAAATACTTTATGATGTTGTGCATAGGGAAGATGCTGACACCCTTATTCTCGCTTTGCCATCAGGTACTAATACATACATTCTCCCTCTCTTTTACTCCTCCCCTCCCTAAAAAAATCTTTCCTTTTTTTCTTTATTCCCAATACTCAAATGATTTTTTGTTTTCAATTAAAAAATGAGGAATTTACTTAAATAGCACTAAAACATAATAACTTTCTCTAAATAGCATCACATGTGTTTTTCTTTCCAATGTAGCACTTTTAGTCATTATGCATTAGTCATTATTCAAGTAAATATTCACCATCACTGGACATTATGGACATTATTAAGTGCTATTTAGAGAATAAAACAGTTTAAATGCTATTTAGGGAAATGACTTAGTTTTAGTGCTATTTAGTGGAAATATTTCTTAAAAACCCTCTTTTATTATACTAATTCTTACTTTACCTATTACATCATATTTATTTACTAATAATATAGTATTTATCATATCAAGAGTATATATAAAAAATCAATACAAAAATATCTCTCACCTAAATTTTAAAAAAGTAAAATAAGGAGATTTAGGGATGGAGTATTTTATATACCATCTCTCCCAAAATAAAGTAAATTCTCGTATTATTTGACCATTAATTACATTAAATTTACATTACATATTAGTATACAAGTGAAATTTACACTAAATAGGACTAAAACATAAGTCATTTTCCAATATAAGACATAAACTTTTTTTATTCCCTAAATAAAATTTTATAATGTCTAGCGAGAAGTATATATAATATCCAAGTGATGATGTAGATTTAGTTGAATAATGACTAATAGATAATGACCAATGGTTCTACATTGGAAAATAAAAACATATGGTCCTATATTAAGCAAGTCATTATGTTTTAGTCCTATTTATGTAAATTACTCAATAATAAATTGTAGTACAATTTTTATATTAATTACTCCCTCCATTCCTGAAAACCTTTCTCTTTTCTTTTTTCATCCGTCCCATAAAACACTTCTTATTTATTTTAAAAAGTCACTTTTACCACTTACTTTTTCATACACTACCTATCACATCATACCTTTTTACTAATAATCTACCCATCAAATCCTACTTTTACCCATCACATCAAAGGAAATTTTTGGAAATTCAATACCAAAATACACTCCCCTTAAATATATTCAAAATCAAAACATTCCATTAATGATGATATAGTACATTATTTTTGTGATCAATTGTGATACATGCATGCATGCATACGTACAGGGTTAATGAAGGAGCAAATAAAGCTTCAATTACTCAGAAAAGAGAGCTTGAGAATCCTCATCTTCTCCCATCATTCTAAATGGATCACCCTACAAAAAGAGTTCCCCCTCCCACCGGACTGCCACAAAAACAGCATCAAAGCAAAGCTCGGAAGCGACATTCTCTACGTCATCTTTCCGAAAAAACGTAACGATCCGACAACGGTGAAACCGGCGGCGGTGGCGGCTTCCGGCGAGACGACCGGTGGCCTCCGAAAAAGACGGAGAAACAACGAAGAGGAGAAAGTAAGCACGGAGGTGGTAGGCGGTGACGATGATGATGAAGAGATAAAAGCAAGAAAGCTGATGAAGCTTCGGCGGCAGCCGCCTATGAAGTGGTTGAATGTGGCGGCGGCTGTGGTGGCCCTAGTGGTGGTTGGAGGTGTTGCCATGTACCATATATGTCAACACCATAAATAGTTAGAGGGTTAATGTACTCATTTTAATCGTAAATGGTCCATGTATGTTGCATCAAATTCAATTAGTCCTTATAACTAAAAAAAAGTGTGAATTAATTTAGTCGCATGTCAAAGTTTATACTCTCTATAGTTTAATTTCAATTCCAAATGTATGTTGCAAACAAATTGTGCTTCATCTTCTCTCATATAACTTTTCAATTACGAAAACTAGGATTTCACTCGCGCGTTGCACGGGATATGTTGATTCTATAATTTGAGATAAATATAAAAAATCATTTTTAATTTTTTCAAAAATATATTCTAAGATGAACAAAATCATATTGAATTTATATTATTATTCAAAATATTTTTCTCACAATTTATAGTCAAAGATTGTGGCCGTCACCAAAGAAGTCAAAACCGAATGAGTTTTTAGAACCGGAGGAAATATCAAATAAATTGAAATTGCCAAAGATATTTCAAATTTGTTGGGTTTGTGAAGGCTTGGGCTTGACTTGTAGGCCCGGCCCATGTTATGAAACCCTAGATGCGCTCTTCCTATATATATTAGCCCTTGTACTTGTAATTTTGTGAGACACGACAAGTGAAATAGAAATCCTCATGTTGCAGCCGTGGATTAGGAAACCGAACCACATTAAATTCTTGTGTGTCGTTCGTGTTCCGTTTCTCGCAGATTATTTGTGTGTGTTGTGTGCTTAATTTCCCTACAAGTGGTATTAGAGACAGAAGGATTAGCAGAGGTAGTGGGAGCAAGAATAGACGAAGGAGTCAGTCAAAGATTCGGGATAACTCAGGTGTAACGTGCTGGAAGTGCAAGGAAGTGGGGCATTTTAGGAATCAATGCCCAAATGATAATAAAGTGAACATTGCTAAAGGCTCTGCGAGTGATCAGGGGGTCACTCTGACTTATTGTGAGGAAAGCAATGTGGATTCCTGGGTCATGGATTCTGGTGCTTCATTTCATGCTACCCACAGCGGTGAAGCATTGCAGAATCTGGTTATTAGAGACTTTGGAAAGGTACGACTAGAGAACGACAGAGCTCTTGAGGTGACGGGTATGGGTGACATGGTGTTGAAGACCCTAGTCGGTTTCTGGACTTTGAAAGATGTCAGAGTGGTTCCAGCCTTGAAGAAAAGTTTGATTTCTGTGAGGCAGTTGGACGAACAGGGACACAAGGTGAAGTTCAGAGATGGGCAGTGGAAGGTCGTGAAGGGAAATCTTGTCAAGGCTCGCGGAAAGAAGAGAGGTTCGTTGCATATGGTCGAGTTACCATCTGAGGGAGTGACCGTCCCGGTTCAGAAGAGAAATAAAGTCCGGTTCACAGTCTTGTGGGCAGAATAAGGTTGTCTATGCAAGAGAGAAACCTAGAGCCACAGGTCAGACTCAGGATGAACGAGCGAGGAAATGTTCAATGAGGCCAGTCAGAGGTATTTATGGCAGTGGGAGCTCAAGAGGCGCTTCAGCCAAGTTTCCTAAACGACAGTGGGTCAGGAGAACCAGTATTCCACCTGTTGGAACATCTCAAGAAAATTTCTTGCTGAGTACGAAGAGTGTTTGTTCTGAGGATGTTCTAGGATCCGGCAGTGTGCATCTGTAGTGGGAGCCGGTAGGGACCGAGGACGAGTCAGGGGCAGATTTTGTCGTGACTGATGTGTTGAAGCTTGGGAGAGCTTCAACAGGCCTTTCAGTTGTCTGATGAGAGGGCCACTGCAACAGGAGAGCTGAGGAAGATTACTCGATGTACAGGCGATCGTGGTGGATGACAGTTGATGACTATCAAGCCTCCAAGTGGGAGAATGTTGGGTTTGTGGAGGCTTGGGCTTGACTTGTAGGCCCGGCCCATGTTATGAAACCCTAGATGCGCTCTTCATATATATATATATATATATATATATATATATATATATATATATATATATATATATATATATAATTAGCTCTTGTACTTGTAATTCCGTGAGACACGACAAGCAAAATAGAAATTCTCCTGTTGCAGCCGTGGATTAGGGAAACCGAACCACGTTAAATTCTTGTGTGTCGTCCGTGTTCCGTTTCTCTCGTTTCTCGCAAAATATTTATATTTTATGCAAAATGAAGTAAAATTTAAAGTTTTTTTAAAATCAATTTATTTCAAGATTGGTATATAAATTAAAAATAAAATTTACATATTTAAAATATTTTATTTTTATCAAATAATCAACCAAAAAGCACAAATAAACAAAAGTTCTCGTGACTTTAATTTTGAATGTTGAAGAGTGTAATTCTTTTTTCAGACGGAGGGAGTAGAACTGAAGAGGAAAGCTTGAAGTGCAAGTAGCTATAGTACGTCTCACATCTAGTACACGGAATTGATGCAATTGGAAATGAATTAGGAGTTAAAATTCTATGAAATTGATCTATTTGAATATAATTGAATTCTCCAATTCGAATTGATTTTAGGCATTACCAACTCCAAATCCATATATTTTTATACTACCAAGTAGCAGAAATAGAATTGTAACCTCCAATTCCAATTTCATTGTTTGAACTCCATGTAACCTTACAAAAAAAGGAAACCATAATGAAAATAAAGGTATATATATATATATATAGGGAGTAGTATGTACTTAAGGTACGTATACCTATTTTAATTCCCAAGATATCCCAAAGAGTACGGACGTGCATTTCTGAGTTATTCTCTCTTAGCGTATATAAACGCATGATATGTATCCAACCTAAGTAACAGAGGAAGAAAATCGTAGAATTATATTGAAAAAGCAGCAAGAAGAGAGAAAAAAAAGAGAAAGAGTTGAATTAATAGCTATATATAAATGGCATCCGAAAGAGTTTATGAGGATTTTGAGCCCCGAGTTTTGTTTTCACAAGAGAAAGGCAGTAGAGCCATCTTATATGAGGCTCATTTACCAGGTAATATATTACATACATACATACACACACACACACACACACACATATATATCATCTTGAACCATATACTCCCCCATCCCAAAAAAGTCAGATCATTCACGTTTTTAAAAAATTGTGTCCCTAAAAGTCCTTCTCATTTACTCTCTCCGTCCACAAATAAATCTCCCGTTGCGCGTTACGATGTTTGACTGATGTTATTTTCAAATAATTTTATATGAAGAATGGTGTAAAATTTAGAAATAAAAATTACATATTAAAAAACTACGGAGTATATCAAAGAATCTACAAAACTAGAGGTGAAATGACTATATTATTTTATCAAATGGGTGACGAAAATAGGCCAACAAAGTGAATAAAGTTTGAGCCTGTGAATAGTAAACGGAAAGTTTATCTGTGGATGAAGGGAGTATATTAAAAAACCACTTTTATCACTTACTTTTCCATACTCTACCCTACCCATCACATCATACCTTTTTCTTAATAATCTACACATCACATCAAGGGTATTTTTGGAAAATCAACACAAAATTATCCCTCTCTTATTTTACCATTTTATTCAATATTTTAGTCCATTTTAGTCAATATTTTTGAACTACTCACTTAGTTGTTCCTATTTCACATATAAATAAATATATTGGGATGTTGATTTGAACTACATAGTTTGAACTCAAAACCTTCATTGATTTAATTTACTCCGTATTAGCGTATTGTTTGCGAAAAAATTAGTAAATTAATGATTTCTAATATAACACCAATTAATGATTCACTTATTATTTTTTTGTTTGAATTTTAAAATTTTCATTGATTGTATTATTCAATCTGTGACGTATTGTTTTGAAGAAAAAAAAGATCACTCATTCAAAAAAATAAATTTATACTTGGTACGGGGTAGAATTTAATTGGTCGGGATTAAGGGCCCCTTTTTTTGGTATGGTACTGGGCCATAAAATTCTCAGGACCGGCTCTGCCCTAAATACACTTATGTGCCATTTATTCTATTATCTATTTAATCAAACAATGAAACTCAGTTAATCCACTATACTTAGCTTGATGGATGGTGCAGATTTCTCAAAGGAAGAAATAAAGGTCACAGTAACGGCTCAAAGGAGAGTGAAGGCCCAGGGAGAAAGACACAGTCCTGCTATAAAGGGCGCAGAAAATAAATGGATGAGGTTCTGTGTGGAGCGCCCCATCCCACAAGGGTATGACCAAGACAAGATTAGTGCCAAGTTTGAAAGTGGCATTCTATCTATAAGAATTCCCAAAATAAGAACAACAATAGATTATGTTAATGATGATGATGATGTTGATGATGATACTGACTATGATGATGATGATGATGATGATGATGATGATGATGATGATGATGATGATGATGATGATGATCACAAGCCTAATAATGTTAAAGAATATAAGGAAGGAAAAGATGACCAATTGAAAAATGATGCAAAAAGTAGTGATGAAACTTCTTCTTCTTCTTGTGAAGAAGAAGAAGAAGAAGATAATGGGGCAAAGAATGGAGTGCCTATTGCCAAGCAGCTGGAGATGAAGATGAGGAAGTTTGGGAAAATGGTGTTGAATACTTATAATAATAATAATAATAATAATAATAATAATAATAATAATAATAATAATAATAATAATAATAATAATAATAATTCTGCTAACACTAATTTGGGTAGTCTGTTTCTGGTTTTGGGTGTCAGCATTGGCATTGCACTCTATGTTAAGAACATATTATATAGTACAAGCTAAGTAAGTACATGATTATTAATTAGATCACAAGAATGGTGAATAATATATAAAGAGCTAGTGGATATCAATCATGCATGTATGTAATTAAAGAGCATTTGAATTGAATAAAACAATATTCTATCTCTTCACTTTGTTTTCTTCTCATTTGCCTTTTTAACGCCTCGAATTTGCGATCATAATTTGTTGTGTTTTTTCTCTAATTTGCCATCAAACTTTTTATATATTGATAAAAAAGAAGTAAAATGAGACGAACGCAATGAATAGATCGCAGAATAACATTAGTACAAAAAAGGGGAAGGTATTTTTAATAATTTTTTGAAAAAATTATCCACAGAGAAGGTGGATAAGGCTTCGTTGTTGTTGGGGATTAAACACACAACACACACAAATAATCTGCGAGAAACGAGAGAAACAGAACACAAACGACACACAAGAATTTAACGTGGTTCGGTTTCCCTAATCCACGGCTGCAACGGGAGGATTTTCTTATTTCACTTGTGGTACTGATTACAAGTACAAGAATGCAATATATATAGGAAGAGTGCATCTAGGGTTTCGTAAAATGGGCCGGGCCAAAAGTCAAGCCCAAGCCTCCACAAACCCAACATTCTCCCACTTGGAGGCTTGATAGTCATCAACTGCCATCCACCACGATTCCCTGTACATCGAGTAATCTTCCTCAGCTCTCCTATTGCAGCGGCCCTAACATCAGACAACTGAAAGGCCCGTTGAAGCTCTCCCAAGCTCCAACACATTAGTCACGGCAAAATCTGCCCCTGACTCGTCCTCGGTCCCTACCGGCTCCCACTGCAGACGCACACTGCCGGATCCTGGAACATCTTGAGAACAAACACTCTCCATACTCAGCAAGAAATTTTCTGGAGATGTTCCAACAGCTGGAATACTGGTTCTCCTGACCCACTGT